ATGGCTTCAGAAAAAATTTTAAAAATCCATTTTATTTTAGAAATACAACATTATTGGCATTATTTTCAATACAAGGAATGATGTCCAAGATTGGCTTTTAAAACTGTTAATGAGCCCTGGCAATGTGAAAAAGATATGGATTAGGTAGATGTAATGAGATATGATTAAAGGGTGCAGGCACTGAAGGGTGTTGGAGAAATTCTATTCAGAAAGCATATAATTAGTGTCTGATAAAAGTACTTAGTAGATAAGATTTTTGAAGAAGAAAGGTTAAGATAAACACATACTTTATGACAAACCTGCTTAATTTTTCCCCTTTGGTTCTCTTACATACTCAATATTATGTTGAAGTTTCATACATAAATAATGTTTGTCGAGTACTTGATGCAATTCTACCAGACAATTAGAGTGTTTTAATTGCCAGACAGGAGAGAAGAAAATGTGTTGAAACATCTTGTTCCGTTTTCAGTGTACATTTCTTTGTTGATTTATGTAATGTAGCTAATAATATGCAACCTACCCAGGTTTTAAACAAACAAATGAACTTCTAAAAAGCAAGCTTCCCATAAGTTGCTAAGCAACTCCAAAGGCACATTTTATTAATTTAATAAATAACATTTAGATGATGACAAATACTTAAGGAAGATTGCTAACTTCATTTTATAAAAAGTAGAGAATCCAAACAGGTACCCTTCTGATTTTTCTTGTTTCTAAGGCCTCAGGGGTAGGCAAAGTTACTGGCATATTCAGAGTTATATTCATCTCACTAAGCAAAGCATTACTTTGACTGGAATTGTTGCCATAATAGAAGTTAAGACCTAGGACTCAGTGCAGCTCTCTAGAGTTGGAGCTCATGCTACATTCCCATAACTGAAGGTTTTTCATGCTCCAAACAACTGACATTTTGGACACGATAATTTGTTGTTGTAGAGGTCTGTCCTCTGAATTGTAAGATGTTCAGCAATATACCTGCCCTCTATCTACTAGATGTCAATAGTGGCCCCACAGGTGCTGTAACTTAAAAATGTCTCCAGACATTGTGAAAAGTCTTCCGGGGGAGGGAAGGGACAAAATCACCCCAGTTGAGAACCACTGCAACTACATAATGGGTAGATATGCTAACTGCAAAAAACATATCTAGAGGTTAACTGGTGATGATATTTTGTGGTTAGTCTCCATCTCTCAATGTCTAACATCCCCTGTCACTATCAATAATGAAGAATAAGGGGGTAGTACTGATTCCAGGGGTGCTCTGGCTTTTGTTCTATTCAATATTCATTCTTGATTTCATCATTTCAATATAATTTCAATTGCATAAAAATTGAGGAGAAGGGACCTAATGATAGCCCTAACTATAGCCATTTTCTAGCAGTATCACATTCCAGAACTGCACCAAAATCTTTTCACCTTTTCTCTTGAGATTTTCCCTATATTCAGTAGCTGGTTAGAATCTTCTTCATCTTTTTTTTTTTTTTTCTTTTGAGATGGAATCTGGCTCTGTCACCCAGGCTGGAGTGCAGTGGCAGGATCTCGGCTTATTGCAGCCTCTGCCTCCCGGGTTCCAGCGATTCTCCTGCCTCAGCCTCCTGGGTAGCTGGGATTACAGGTGCATGCCACCAACTCTGGCTAATTTTTGTATTTTTAGTAGAGCTGGGGTTTCACCATGTTGGCCAGGCTGTCTCGAACTCCTGACCTCAGAGGATCCACTCGCCTTGGCCTCCCAAAGTGCTGGGATTACAGGTGTGAATGACCACACCCGGCCTAGAATCATTTTTAAAATAAAACTAAATTTTAGTCATGTCTTCCTCTGCTCATAGGGCCACCATGAGTCGTTATCATCTCTACTATCAAATGGAAACTCCTCTGAATAGTGTAAGCTTTTGTACAATTTACCACCAATTCCATCTCATCAAATATCTTTCTCATCTTATGTCCCCTTTACTCTTTCACACACAAACAGCTTGCATGTTCCAACCTCCATGTGATATATATACAGGACAAATTCATTTCCTATAGTTTTACTAATTATTTCTTCTTTACTTCTTATCGATATCATATTCTAGTCTAAGAATGGCAGGACTGCAATTATTATGAGGTAATTATTTACTGAATGCCTTCAATATGCCAGACATTGAATATTGTTTAGTAGCTGTTTCTGTCAATTTACATTTCATTATTTTGCCCAATCAGATTGTAAGTTCCCAGAGGGCAGGAGAAGGTCTTATTTGTGTCCCTTTGACACCTGTTAATAATGATGCTAATAAACATGCTAGACCAGGTGCGGTGACTCACACCTGTAATCCTGGCACTTTGTGAGGCTGAGGTGGGCAGATTGCCTGAGCTCAGGAGCTAGAGACCAGCCTGGACAACACGGTGAAACCCCATCTCTACTAAAATACAAAAAAAAAAAAAAAAAAAAAAAAAAAAAATTAGCTGGCATGGCATGTTGTGTCTGTAATCTCAACTACTCAGGAAGCTGAGGTAGGAAAATCACTTGAATCCAGGAGGCAGAAGTTGCAGTGAGCCGAGATCCTGCCAGGGTGACAGAGCAAGACTCTGTCTCAAAAAAAAAAAAAAAAAAAAAATTACTTTATATTGAGTTGCAACTATAACATTTCAAATTACTGTCATGATTACTAGCTCATTGACTGTATATTTTCAGTATTTTACCATCAATAAACATGGGTCATGAAATGCTCTTGGAACCAGACTGTTGGTTACAGAACTGGTACTCAGTAGATAATGCATTTAATACATGATGAATGACTGAATTCAGTCTCACAACTTCACAACTTTAACTGGTTACAAAAAATTCTTTTGGCATTTAAAAACAGAAGTTATTATAGAGAGCAAAAACTGTGAAATGATGCAGAAGACACAACACAGAAGTGAATTAAGGTTCACAATGGTTAAACTATAATAGAGCAGGAGGAAAAGCAAAAGAGGAGTCTTAGTTTCTCCCTCAAATTCACTATGAGAATTTAAATTCATTTCAAAAGGTCTTGACCTCTTATCAAATAAAACTGTTTTAAAAGCAAAATACTGGGCAGGTTACTCATGCCTGTAACCTTAGCACTTTGGGAGGAGCGGGCAGGAGAATTGCCTGAGCTCAGGAGTTCAAGACCAGCCTGGGCAACACGGTGAAACCCTGTCTCTACTAAAATACAAAAAATTAGCCGGGCACGGTGGCACACATGTATAATCCCAGCTACTAGGGAGGCTGAGGCAGGAGAATCACTTGAACCTTTGAGGCAGAGGTTGCAGTAAGCCAAGGTGGCACGACTGTATTCCAGCCTGAGTGACAGTTGATAAAACCCAATATCTAAAAATCACAGCATTTTACCTCATATGTATAAAGAAGTTCAAGAAAATATTTTCAGGCCAGGTGCAGGTGGCTCAGGCCTGTAATTCCAACACTTTGGGAGGCCCAGGCAGGCAAATCACCTGAGGTCAGGAATTCCAGGCCAGCCTGGGCAACATAGTGAGAACCTCTTTGACAAAAAATTAGCCGGGTGTGGTGGTGGGTACCTGTAACCTCAGCTACTCGGGAAGCCGAGGCAGAATTACTCGAGCCCGGGAGGTGGAAGTTGCAGTGAGCCGAGATCACACCACTGCATTCCAGCCTGGGCAACAGGGCAAAACAAACAAACAAACAAACAAGATAAATTCTAAAAACCTATATATATATTTAAAAATTTATTTTGTTTGTATCAAAACAAACACATTTTTAAAAACCTATATATATATGTTTTTAAAATTATGTATATATAGGAGGGGCCGGTCTGCAAGGCCTCCACCCAGATCCTCATCACTGACAACATGCTCTGTGCTGATTACCAGCCTGATGAAGGGAAAGGAGGGGATGCCTGTGAAGGTGACAACGGTGCGGTGCGGGGCGGGTGGGGGGGTAGGAGGGACCCTTTGTCATGAAGAACCCCTTTAACAACCACTGGTATCAAATGGGCACTGTCTCTTGGATTGAAGGCTGTGACCAGGATGGGAAATATGGCTTCTACACACACACATGTTCCACTTGAAGAAGTGGATAAAGAAGGTCATTGACCAGTTTGGAGAATAGAGGGGCCACTCATATTTTGGGCTCCTGGAACCAATCTAGGGAAAGAATGATTTTTGTGTTTCTAAAATTAAGATTCCCAATAAAAGTGACTCTCAATGAGCAATATACATATTTCAACAATCTTTAGAGATCCCCAACACCTGTTTGGGGGAGTCCCTAAATAAATAACACTTAAGTCCCTGTAAAAGCCCAGGTATTTATCAACTTTTCAACTGAATTCAGGAAAAAACAGAAGTCAGTTGATTTGAGGACTCCTACTAACCCTAAGCACAATATGCCTAAAGACAGAATATCATTTATCCAGTAATTCCTACAACATACATTACATGCCTACTAAGTGCAGACACTGGCCTCGCCCTGGAGGAGAACAAAGAAGCCTAAATCTCATTGCTGTATGAATTTGTACAGTGAATTCAGAAAGGGGCAAGTGATCTGAAAACCCAAAAAATAATTGTCGTCAATGGCCCTTTTCTCTCCACTTCTGGCTTTCTCCACCCTCAAATTTAAGGAAGCAAAAAAAAAAAAAAAAAACCCTAAAGGACATTCAAAATAAAGAGAAATGAAAGAAACAAGTTAGGCTCTAACCAGTCACCTGGAAGATACAGAAAACAGCTCCCAACGCTATCCGTCATCCATGTGACTGGGCGGAAGTGCAGGAGAGCAAGGGGGCCGGAAATGCAGGGCCCGGCGCGGGGGAGGGGAAGAGTCACGGCCGCCAGGGTTGGAGACCGGAAGTGCAGGCTCTCCCTTGCGCGGGAGAATGTCCCTGGGCAGGGCGTGACTCTAAACTCAGGCCGCACGAGGTCTCTCAGAGGTTCCTCCCACCACAAAGCCCCATCACATTACAGAAGGCTTTTTGCAAAATAGGGATTTCTCAGCTTTTCCGAAGAGGTTCCTAAATGTGGCTGTAACCTTGACATGAGGTTTGTAGTGAAGGGGCTCGCTCTTCTCCCAGGGTTTTCTTAGGTGAATTGGCGTCGCCTAAACCGGACGGGGAAGGGAACGGACCCCTGGTCCTTGAGCCACGCGGGTGGTGTTGGGGGTGCTGAACTGCCCAGGAAATGCGGAGCGGCGCCCCCTCCCTGAAGACTGAAGGGGAAAGAGAAACGGGGTTCCGGCGGACGCGATCGCAGAAAGAGGTTACTCGGGGGCACCGGAGCTCCGGTGGGGGCCCCGAAAATGTGTCTGAGGGAGGGGCTGGCAGTGGCGTTTTTGGAAAGAGGGGCGCTTTATGTTCGCCTCCCTGCTTCCTTGAGGCCGGGGCGGCTGGCGTTGAGCCGGGGCGGCTGGCGGTGATCCGGGCCACAACCGGCCCGGGCCTCTGCGGACGCCCGAGGCTCCGGTGGCGCTTTGTCAGCGGCCGCTGGGGCCAAAGGGGTGGGGGGACGTACGCAGGGGCCTCTTTTCAAATTGAGTTGTTCAGAATAAGGTTGTCTTCAGTTTTTCATCCGAGGCATAGAAAAGAAACTAGAAACTCGGAGGTCTCTCTGTCTCTGCCCCAAATTAATTGAGAAATTGTCAGCCTGTCCTGCAAATGCACTTCTCTTTCTCTCTCTCAATCTTCTTCTCCCTCCTCTCCCCACAGAATCGCTCTTCCCCTACCTTCATCCCACACACTTCAGGAGTCCCCTACGTATTCCACAAAACCCAAAACGACCATTTGGGCCACTTCACTCCTTCTCAGCTTTAGGTGACTGACATACATCCGAATAAAACTAGAGTTTTTTGCTGGTCTTCATGTAATTAAAATGTACCATCCCTGTGTCTTCCCAAAGGTGTGGGAGGGAAAGTGTTTGGACAGGGGACTGATAGTCAGTAGGTATTCACGACACGGTTTATAAGATCACTTTTAAGCTCTCCTCCTAGTTGTCACTGAGAATTCGGTTTGAGAGGAAATGGTTTTCTAGATGATTTTTTGTCTAGATGATTTTTCATTATATTAAACTTAAGAGTTTTTCTTATCCTCTAGCTCTGTGAATGTCCAAAGATGTAATACAAACTCTGCATTGATTTCCAAAGGTCTGATTTCCAGAGGAGCCCCAACTCTCCTGTCCTGCCTGCATTGCCTGCCTTCTGACATCCTGGGAATGGGAAGAAACACTGGGATCCGTGATGGCAGAACTGCGGACCCTGACAACTTCTGATTGTTGAAAGGGGGAGGGGAGAGTGGAAGAGAGGAATGGAAAGGCAAAAGAAAAAAACATTTGTGTTCATTTACACATTTCCTGTGCAGAACAAAAAAGTCCCACCATCAGCAAAAGAAGTCTCTTCCTCCAAAATAGCAGCCAAAGAGGGAAAATTAGAATATGCATAAAGTCTTTCATTTTCATTCGCACAGAGCACGATTTCCAATTTCCGGCAGATTTGTATTTAAACTGCTCGATTAATCCCAATTTCAGAACAGCATTTTACTTAGCATTTTCCCGAAACTTACCTAAAGAGTTATTACTCCCTCCCCATCACCCTGTTTTGGAGCCTTCCTTTTCCCTATTCTCCAACTGCCGATAAGAATTTCATTGATAAGACTGTAACTTTATTTTTCCGGTCCATTATTTTCCTTTTAAAACTAGACTGATGCATTGGACCACACTTGAATGCAAACTGGCTGCTGTCTGTGAAGCCGCAACTGGAAATGAGAGCCCATTGGAAAGGATGTGTTTTTGAAATGTGTATCTAAGAGAGAATAAACATGATAGGGCCAATAGACTCTTGCAGATCCTCTCCTGTCATCAAAACCTTTCCTTTTCTACCCAGGTCATATGTTTTCACGACTAGCAATAGCTGAGATGCTTGGACATAATCTACCCTCCAAACCTTTCCTTCCTTCACCCCTTTTGAGAAGTTTGATAGAAAATCATACAATCCTCTTCAAAGGAATATTACTCTTCTTAAATATTCAGAGTGTCAGTCCATTAAATTCCCCTACAGCCCATTACTAAAATATTTTGCTTTACCACTTGTGGAACAGATCTGGCTGTATCTGAAATTTCCTTTGTTGGAAAAAATGCTATTGAGCATCATTTGAATATCTTCTCTGAAATATTGTCTCTTGACTTGAGCTTACGGCTCCTGCTTTTGAAACTGTATATGTTTATTTTACTTAGTAGTAGAATGTTAAAAAAATAAAATTACTGCATCTTGACTTACAGAAAAAAAATATATATCCTAATTCCATCCACCCCTAAATTCCTCACTCTTGCACATCCCAAAACAGAAAGAACCTTTTATTTGATTCATAATGTAATCTAAGCAAAATATAGTGGTTTTGGCCTTCCTTCAGTGTTTATAGATCCCATGTAAACCCCAATTATGAATAGTAAAAACTTGGAAAATACTAACATTTGTTTAGCTTTCAGTTTCTGTAAAAAAAAAAAAAAAAAAAAAAAAAAAAAAAAAAAAAAAAAAAAGTACGTATTTGAGCCATATGCAGCATGGTGTGTAATATAGGTGCATAAGCATTTAAATATGTGGTTTAAATATCTGGTTAGCTAAACAGTCAAGATATTGGGATATAGACACATATTAATTTTGTTAAATGGGTGCATAAACTCTGCATTTGTGATAGGGTCTGCATGACTTACTACCTTGAAGCAACTGCTTTTATTGTTTTCTTTCTGTCATGACAAAAGTATTACACAACTTACTTTAGTTATGCATTTTTTCTATTGACTTGGAGGTTCTCAGTTAAATACTATTAAAACCAAAATGTTGGTAAATAAATTCTCAAAAGCCATTCGGGAGTAAAGGTAACAGGATTGAAAGCTACTTTTACTGGCAGTGCTGATTTCTTTTCATTTTCTTATTGAAATAAATGATTGTTTCTTAACCAAAGGGACAATTTAAACAAATAAGAAACAATCACAATAACCAAGTATATTTCTTAAAATTTTATTTAATTAGAATTTCCTTGCATATGGAAAACTTCTATTTGATTTCAAGTTGCAGAACTACTTCCAGAAGAGTTTGAGTGAATTTAATAGTTATGATTAGTGCAGTGAGAAAGCCTGGGGTACCATTGAAGAGTAGATTGATATACAGTTACAGCCAGAGCTGCATTTCTCTCGTTGCAGTCTTAGGCAAGATAAGACTGAACATCACCTCAGAGAATTTATCATCAGAAATGAAAGCTGTTCATTCTTTGCTGATCTTTAGTGAAATAATATTCTCATGAACTGGATTTTTTTCATACTTTTTACAATGAAAAGACTAGAAAGAAATGAAATGAAAAAAGATTGTTCAGCCTCCCTGCGGTGAAAGGTTAAGAGACAGAAGCATGGTATTATAGCAGGGAAGTTGCATCCTTTTTTTTTTTTTTTTTTTTTTTTTTATCCCTCCCTTTCTTCCATCAATTACTGTTTGGTTTTGTGATAGTGTGTATATGTGAGTTTGAAGACAATATCTTCTTTAAAATTTTCTAAAGGTTAAAACTTGCTATTGATATTTATGTCTTTCTTTTTGTAATTTTTAAGGTGTACAGGTCTTGCTTTTACATACATTACTAGGGCTATATTACTTTCCAAGAAAGCAGAACAAAGAAAATATGTTTAATGGTTAATCTTCTTGATCTAAAATTGTCCTTCTATAGCTAAGATCCTTCTCCATTTGGCCCTAGCTGCTGGACTGCCAAAGAATTTCTGTCATGGTCTCTGTTCTCTTCTATAATCATGCTTCCTTTCCTAACCAGCTTTCTTTTCCCCTTCACAAAAGAAGGCAGTTATAAAACAACTTGCTTTCACCTCAATATCTGCCTGATAAATATTGAGTCTAATTTTCTCCCAATTCACTTTTTAATTTTTGTTCATTTTCTTTATGGGGGGATAATGGCGCCTGGGGGTTCTTAAGATGGGAAGAACATGGGGCTGAGAGGAGAGTTGGATTACTGCAGACACAGACTCGCTGGCAGTTACTTTCAAGCTTAGTCCTAGGAACTGGGGCTGGTCTTTCACCTAAACAATAAACCTTGGCAAGTTTTTAGTTCACAAAAGCATTTTTCTCTTCTTCTGAGGAAATGAGCTTAGCTTTACTTGCCAGACTACCACCAGTTACTAATATCTTTAACCTGCTCTCTTCCCTTCAGGTATACTCCCTTGACTTCATTATCCTCTCTATGTCTCTCTATCTCTAAAGGAATCAAAAGAGTTCATCTTGGCGGGGGGGAGCCTAAATCCTACTTCTTGTTTCTTGCCCTATGGGCTGGCTTCCTTAAGGCCAGTGATCGTTTTGAACTCTTAGGCACCTCAGTGACTCAGCCCTTCTCAAACTCCTCAGCTTTGTGAACTTGCGTCTCAAATAAGACAACTTACCCACTCACCAGCAGAGCTCCATCCGGAAGGCACCTGAGAATCCTTTCTACCCAAGAATTCCTTTACATACCTGCCTCTGAACCCAGTATTTTTTTCCCCAGGTTGGTTTATTTGGGAATGTCATCTGCAGGGCTGCATGTCCATAGCAATAAAGGGGAGTGGATACAAAAATACTCAGTGCCATTAAAAAGACCTACGATATTAGACCAAGGGAGTCTCTATTAGGAAACTTGGGTTGGAACAGATCATCCAACTAACCAGTGAAACAAGAAATCAGAGAAATGCCTGACTGCAGCTGTGAAACACAAATTTCAAACTGAAATGGATTCCATCATCCTGTCAGCCAGATAAATTATTTTAAAATTGTTTCTGCTATTGTTTGCATTATTATTATTAACAGTTTATTTTTGTCATTATTGTAATTTTTGTTATTTATTTTTGTTGTTGTTGCAGCTATTATACTATTCAACAGAAGTTTAGAAAGATTAGTCAGATTAATTAGTTTATTGGTAATTTAAAGCTGAAAGCTAGTAATTAAGCCAAAAACTAAAAATGATCAGGGATGATTCATACTAATGTAGGATTTGGGAGGAAGAGAACCTAAATTTTGGACATAAAATTTGGCAGCTGTGAAATAAATAGGACTTGGGGATAAAAAATATGATAACTGAAATTTTCTGTCATTCAACCACTTCCCCTCCCCCAAATTCAGCTAAGATTATTCTGTGATTTGCTTGGTAGAGGGAAAAAATTTCTATTTGTTTTTGTTGACAGGGAACAAAGATCCTATGTATATTCTTCTTGTGATTTGCATTTTCATGTGGATACCCTTTGCTCAGGACCAACCAAACATTTAAGATCACTCCCCTCCAAGTTTGACTCTTTCATCTCTTTGCTCTTATTATGCACCCTCTCTGAAGAGGGTGCATCATGTAAGACAGGTATAGAATTTCAGCCCTCTCAGACAAATTCTGTGGAATGTAAATTCAATAATGCAATTGTCTTCACAACACGCTCTGTTCTCTTTCAAATATAATTAATGTTTTGATAGTGTAGTTCTTTAACTACATATATACACACAAAAACAGACATACCCTCTAGCTTTGCTGTTTGTGTATCTAAAGCAGAAATGGATGCAGTTCTTTGAGTGACTCCTAAAATTCCTCAGCTCAGCCCACAGAGAAGAGATCTGGTTAGGTAAAAACTGCATAGTCTGTTGCATGCCCAAAAATATTTAAAACAATTTAAAAAATGCAAGCCCCTAGTTTTTAATACTAATTTTTCTGTTAAATTTCATAGAAAATAAAGTATATTCTGAATTGATATTCTGATACAGACATTTACTAGAGAACAGTTAAAATAAACAAAAACACTGTCCTAAAACCCTGGTTGTCTTTTCCAAGTTTTGATGATGGAAATTGAATTTCAATCTCTTCCATTTTACCTAATTGGTGCTAAATTGACACAGATGTATAAAAACTAGCAACCATAATAACATAAGTACAATGACTTATGTAAGAAATTGCTTACTCTATCAAATACCTCAGCTGTATGTTTTAGGTGAGTTAACTCTCTTAATTGCTATCGGTTGTATATAGACATATTTGTATATGAAATAGATGGTCACAACAGACAGACACAGATATGTAGGCAACATTATGGCCAATAGGAGGTAAGTGAGCAGATGCTGAGCTTCCACATTCAAGTGTCTTATATCCCCAATATTTCATTTCTCCAAATGGATTACAATTATAAGAGATAAAATAAGCTTGCAGATTGTAGGGCATCATATATGTTCTGTCTTTCATATAGAAAATACATAATATATAATAATCCAATAAAAATATCAACCTTGCTCTCCCTATATTGTTACTGAGTTGAAGAAGCTAGATCTGTGGCTCTAGGACACTGATTTCCAAGCATCATGGCCATTTTGTTTGAATTGTGAATATGTAAAACATGTTGGTAGGGGAAATATTTTACACATTTCTCCTTTCCACAGGTTTTTTTAGAGGTAATGTGTAAAAGATGTTTTAAAAAAATCTTTTGCAGTTTATTCTTAATCTTCATGTAATATTTAATGTTTGGAATTGTGAAAGAAGATAAAAGAATCAACAAAGAAGGGAGAACATGTGACTGATTTCAAATAGGCCTTCTTTCTGGATGAGAAATAAAATATTTCCCAGTGCAGTTTTGCAGAAAAGGGGGAGGGTATAATTTGTGAAAATCTCATTTGTAATTTTTTAATTATGATTTTAGATAATAGCCAGTTAGGGTTCTTTTTCCATTCCTTTCCTCCAAACTGTTTTCCTTGAAAGCATAAATGTGCAAACGACTTATGCCTTCATTCTCTCACAGACTATTATACAAACAACAAATATTTTCGTTAAATTTTTGAGAGTAAAAGCCTTTACAGGTCTACAAATTCAATCTTAGCGCAAGACTAAATTACCAGTCCATTTGTTTACATACAAGTAACCTAATATTTGTCTTTAGTGAGCTACGAAGTAATCTATAAAGGGAAGATTTTTACAACATTGATCAGGAATGATGTGCGAGCTATCAAGAAGAAATTATCCCTCAGACATTTTATATTTGTTCTGATTTCTTCCTCCTTATTCCCTTCTTCTTATTTGTTCTTTGAGACAGACACGACTAATTCTCTGATTCTCCAAATGAAGTTTGGTTTGGCTCAGATTAATATTAAAGAAGATCACATACACGGTCGAAAAATATTGTTATTTTTCTTTAATG